TCACGGCTTCTACTAAATGAGCAATAAGGAACTTTTAGTGAGCATCTGCCATATTTTATTGAGTATTACAAACGTGAGTTTTGTGTTAGACTAAAATTCAAAAGCTCGTTTGAATTTCCTAATGTGTTCAAATGTTCATTTATTCACATTTGTAATTAACACACAATATTTAATAAACTAATAAGTATTCATCTTAAGTTAATAGTAGAGAAATATACCATTAATAACTAAAATATTTTATAATAGATAAATAAACCACCGAAGCTCCAAAAGTACCGCAGTGGCTGAAGCTTTGGTCTCACCAGTTAGGTGGCAAATACGCTTCTCTCTGCTAGCTGACATCGATCGATCAAGCTTACCAAAAACCTGGACATATATACTTAATTAAGATAAATTGTTCTAGATCAAACATAAACAAAACAGGGCCGGCCATGGGGGCATTTTCCCTAGACACATGTCTAGGGCCCCCAAATATTAGGGGCTTCCAAATTTTAAAACATACCCATTAGTATTATTTATGTATCTTTAATGTAAACTTTGATTAAATTTCAATTCCTTCCCACAGCAGTCCGGCAGACTCATGGCGACACTCAAGTACATAGGAGCAGTCCTTTCACTCTTTGAAGTTTTGAGGTGTTCTAATCCTTCTAAGCTTCATGCGATTCTTACTTTGTTATTTTCTTATTTCATTACTTAATTGGTGATTAGTGATTACTTTATGTTTATACTTGAATACTTCTTTAGTTTTTTTTGAATAAATTATGTACTTTAGTTGTTTCTTTCAATTTGTAGTCGTGTATAAACTTTAAAATTGATTATTTGATTGTAATAATTACTTTTGTGAATGATAAAACTTGGAATTTTTTACATAGTTGGAATTTTTATGGGAAAGTTCCCGAAATAGGACTAAAACAGTTTCAAAATTCCAAAATAGGACTGTCATGTTTTTTATTCCCAAAATAGGACTAATTACTGTCATGTTTAGAAAATACGGACATGCTTGAAGTCTGGTACTGCCAAAACATGGCAGTAATTAGTCCTATTTTGGGAATAAAAATATAGCAGTCCTATTTTGGAATTTTCAAACTGTTTTAGTCCTATTTTGGGTAATATCTAAATTTTTATTTGTGAGTTTGATTGAAACATTGAATACTTATAATTTTCTATATGTACGTTAAGTTTTTATTTATGAATCTTTTGCATGTTTATTATTATTTTATATAAAATTGTAGGTTGTGTGACGGAAAAACAAAATCATGATTTAGAATATACAAAGAGAAAGAACAAAGTAAGAAAATACTAGGACATAAAATTACTTGTCAGACTCTATAGATCACGGTAAATACAAAAATCATCGTTCAAATATTTTTGAGAATGAGGATACAGTCACTACTCTTAATAGTAGTGATGTTCTTACTAATTTTGCTTTTCAGAAAGTTAGAAGAATAGACCACTAAATTATTCATGTATTTTTAGTATTTTTTGATCGTTTGGTTTTGAAGAAATATCCTTTTACATTAATAGTATATGGTGCATTTTGCATGTAATATACATCTATTTTATTGATATTACATTTTTATATATTTATGTTGAATAAGCTAGGTATATTGAAATGAATTGTCTACTTGACTGTCTAGAGCCTCATAATTTCTCTAGCCGGCCCTGAAACAAAGGTTCTGCTAGCTGGCCGGCGAGCTATAACATGGTGAAACGCCACCGCCGATAGCGTGGGCAGTTTCACTGCAACACCAAAACATGGCTTAGCACCTGGAGAAGATGGTGAGGAGCTGGTGGAAAAACAAAATCGGAGCAATAAACAAAACAAGGAAGTAAATAAGAAGAAAAAACTAAAAGAAATCTGACACAAATTCGGAGATACAAAAGATGAAGAAAAGTAAAATCAGAACACAGATGGAGTACGGATAGATAAAAAAACAAGGATGACCCAGGAGTGGAGCATGGCATGAGGCGGAAAAAAGAAACACTATTTATGCCACTCATTACAAAAAAAACGGGTGTACATGTACACCGGGGTGTAGGATATAGGAACTGGTTGGTTTTACGTGGCAGTAAATCAACATTTTAGGAGCAACTTTTTTTTTGTTGCGGGGCAGATTTATGATGGGTTTTCGGTAACAACGTGCATCGGAGAAGATAGGGAGAAGTCTAAAATAATCAACAGGGTTCAATCCGAAAGATGAACAAGAATATTGTCGAGTTCGATGAATTTCAACAGGATTACAATTAGAGATGACAACGGGCGGATTGGGGACGGTTTTACATATAACCTACCCGCCCGTTGAATAATTCCTTCCTCCCCGTAACCGGTTCATTCCGCAACGAGTAATTTTTATCCAAACCATAACCATCCCAACGGGTAACGGGGTAACGGGCTTAACCGCGGGTAATCACTTTATTAAATGAATCACCGACATTTTAATATAAAAATACTCCCTCCATCCCAATTTGTAAGATACTTTACGGTTTACGATGTTTGACCGATGATAAAGCAAATTGATCTCTGTGAACACTCATATTAGTTTTAGAAAATAAAACTTACATATTCAGAAACTACATTAAAACCGCTACAAAACCTGAAAAAATAATTCAAATTTCATAAACGTTTGATATATAAATTAAAAGATTAAGAGTGATTTATGTTGACCGAGTGAATAGTAAATGTATCTTACAATTTGGGACTGAGGGAGTAGTATTTTAAAAGACAAAAATTGGCATCACCTAGATGACTCTATACTGAGACGCCACTTTAAGTTTCGTATATCTACAATATGAGAAAGAAGACAACCTAAATTAATTTGAACACAAAAATACTTAATATGAAAAATAATTAATCATGAACATAATTTGATAATAATCAAATAAGACTATTAAGATCTATTATCCCTATATACACAATGAGAATAGAAAAATGTCATCTTTTAGTAGTTGTGGGACAAATAATAGATAAAAATGTAACTAAAATATAACTAAAAATAAACTGGGAAGGTAGTAGGGAGGGCATATATAAAACCATATCTGCCTCGTTTCCTGTAAAATAAAAACGGATATTACTCGCCCTGTATCCGTTACCTGGTCAATGTGGTTTCCCCGTTGTGATCGAGCGGTTCAGTGCTAGTATCCAACGGATCGGTCACAGTTGACATCCCTACTTACAATCATTTGGTCTTGGAGGAGAAGGGTGATGTACTAATGCCCCCTCCTGAACCACCACCGTGGAATGAACGAGCGACTAGGGTTTGGATAATTGTTATTTATTGCTCTATTTTTATTTTCAGTTTAAGCTTTATTTTTCTTTCGTTATACATTTTACCTTGTTCTTGGATTGTTTGTGTTAGTGGCAGTGTGGGAATGTATAAGGCCGTAATTTTCCTTGAAGCTCCCGTATGTTTAGCGAAAAGTTTTACTCAGATTTAGGTGAACTTTTCTATACCTGATTAGGGACTGAGGGGACTTTTTGTCTGTTATGAGTCTACAGAAGTGGGGAAGAGTACTGTTGTAACACTTGAGATTTAATTTAAACGGATTAATAGTACTACTCATACCAATAAGGTGCATCTCCTTTTAAGGGAGCTCATTAGCCAAGAACTCCAAAGTTAAGCGTGCTTGCACGGGAGTAGTCTTGGGATGGGTGACCCCCTGGGAAGTTTCTCAGGGCGCGCACGAGTGAGGACAAAATGCGCGGAATAGACTAGTGGCGGTTTGTGAGGACAGTACTAGAGGTCAGAAGTAACTACCTCGGGGCCTACGGGGCCGGGGTGTTACAACCGTGACCTCAATGGTGTGTAAGAACTCTATATTTTTCTTTGGTGGTCAACGATTTGCATTGCTTCTTTGAAGGTGAATGTCTTAGTGTCTGATTGTAGGACTTTTAGTAAGTTAGATGGAGTTTTTTGGGAGATAGATGGTGAAGTTTTAAGTTGCTGGCTAATTGTAACTGTGGATGATTGTTTGTGATGGACTATATTCACAAATACCCTAGGGGTACCAGACATTCACGAATAAAGAAGTCTCCTGAAGCAACCAAGTCAATATCTCACCGAGACTGAGCTCGACCCACCGAGGACGGCCTGAACATTCGACTCCCAGATCACCAAGATAAAACCGAATCTGAGACCGAGCTCGACCTTTTCCAAGGTCGGTACTAGATCTGACCTCAGACGCGGGCACAAAGTCAACCGAAGTCAACGGAGCGAAGGAACCACCACTATCAGACAAATAGAAGACCACAGTCAAACTCTCCAGAATAAGCTTACCATACCCAAGCTCTGACCTTGCTTACGGAGCTCGGGGTCTCGCTAACAAGTTGTGGACTTACACATTTCAGAAATCGAGGCAATCGAGTACCACGCAGAACTATGACCATGTCACCAACACTGTACAGGGCCACGTCACCATGGCAGTCACCTGTATTCCAGTTAGCACACGTGTGGCGCGCATGTGAGTTCTGGTACACAAATGACGAATTCTATTACGTACAGTACCAATCAGCCAGTTGTCCAAGATATGTCTCCAATCACCTTTACACGTATCATCCCCTATTAGACTAGTACAATCATTCTTGTTAGACATGTATGAGACAAGTATCTTCATCACATTAATTTGTTTGTTGTCTAAGTATTTTCTCTTTAGAATAAATATCACCTTCCAACATGTGGAAAGAGATCTGAATTTTGCTGTAAGAACTTGTTGTTACTCACTTACTCTGCCCAATTTTCTACCCATCTTACTTGATACTTTCAGGCTCTCCATTTCCCCGGATTCCGTTCATCCCCACGTCGGTGATCCATCATGGTTAATTAATATAGTTTGATACTTTGATGATTTCTTTTCCAAAAAGTTGCTAATATTTTCTATCCATTATATGAAATACAACTTTTCCATGACATTGAAGATTAATAAAATAAAAATTGTGTGATTGAAATTTGTGTGTAGTAAGTAAATATTAGCTGTGGATAGAATTTTACTGGCCCAGTGAAAAGAATAGTTTGGCCCATTACCAGCCCAGTGCCTAATTCCCGGTCGGCACTTCGGCGAGTCGCAAGGTCGCAGTCGAAAAGACGCTATAACGCCGACGCGGCAACGCCCGCACGCCGCGCCCGCTAACACCGCCGCAGACCCGCACGCCTCCGTCGCCGCAGACCCGCACGCCTCCGTCGCCGCATACCCACACGCCTCCCGCCGCCGCGCCCACCTCACACCGTCTTAGACCCGCACGTCTCCAGCCGCCGCCGCCGCTTTTCAGTCTGCTTCTCTTCTCAGCTTCTGGGACTTCTGCGTGCCTTCTTCTAATCGCCACAGGCTGCACCGCAGTAGGTAAGTTATAACGTTTAAGTGATTATTCTTTAATTTTTTGTACTTTAATTTAAGTAGCTAATAGATTCAAATCTTGATTCTTGAATATTGTTGTGGAGTATTTGACAGTTTGATTAATACGAATTTGTAAGATAAATTTTGAATTTCTTCTCTGATTGAATAATAATTTGTGTCATTTTGTGATTCCATTTGTGAAATTAAAAATTAGGATTGTAAATTTCTTAAAAAATTAATATGAATTATGTGATTCAAAACAATCTATTGATTGTTTTATTAATTTTTTTCAACTTAATTAAGTACGGCTACCCAATCTACTTCTAAAAAGGCAAAAAATACTGCATTCTTTCTTTAAGCCTATTACAAGCATAGAAAAATACTCCCCCGTCCCATTTAAATCTTTACACTTTCCTTTTTGGGACGTCCCATTTACTCCTTTACGTTTACTTTTTAGAAAACTCTTTTTACATTAAATGTCCTAACTATCCTTCACTACTCACCCACTTTTTACATTTGAGTGGATAACATTAATTCCCCCCAAAAGTCAAAGGACATGCAAGACATTTGATAAAGTCATTGGAAGTCGTGTTCAATTATTGTTTTGGTTTTATGTATTATATGTACTTAAAAATATTGTTAAGGATTTTAGTGGATTTTAATTTTCAAACTATTTACTCGTTTAATTTTTTTACATAGTATTTCTAGTTTATAACCTCCCCGAACCTCCGTCCTGGCTACGCCCCTCCTGGTTGCCTCGGTTGGGGTAATAACTGTCCTCCCCCACTTGCAACTCAAAACATCCTAAGCCATCTGTTAGTGTTCGCTGTAAGTCATTTCATATTGTCACTACGTTTCATGGAATTGTATGAAAATTAGGTTTGATCTGTGTGCTTCAATTGTGTGCTTCATGAGTTTTCATGAAGCAGTACTACATACTACGTCCTTAAAAAACTACAGACTAGGTTTTATGTGTTGGCAAATCACGGGTTTCAATTTGATGCAAATACTAACTAGGAGGAGGAAGTGTGTAGTGCCTCTCAAAACCTAATATCATGTTTGTAATGTTCAACATTACTAATTCCCGTTTTATCTGACTTTTTTCAAGTCACATATATTAAAGCCTATTTAAACAATATAAGTTTTCACATCTACAACTAATCAAAGTATCAGCAAAGGTTTCAAACAAAAATTACACCATGCCTCCTGCTAACGGATAAAGCTATACTTCAATAGTAGAATGTTTTTATCGTTAGTGACTTAGCTTTGAATCACTTGTACACAGATCTTTTCTTAGACCGATGTTTTCAAATATATGCATCAAATACCCCTCCGCAGAACTTCTTAACATGGTTGTGATAAGTATTGGCTTTGTTTTTTCAGTTATGAAAAATAAAATGCTTATTTAAACCCTTTTGCAAGGCAAATCATCCTGAAATCGGCGCGAGGCACAACGCGAACTGACAAGTCATGCCATATGTAATATTCAATAAGCACATACAATAAAATAATATACAGAGTATTGCTGATTGAATTAAAACATACAATAGGTAATACTTAGTAAAATAATGTATCGGAAATGTTTACTAACAAAGATTGAAAGGTTTGATAAATCCAGCAAAAATACTAAAGTAGATATTTGACTGTTGATATCATATGCAAAGGTAGAATTTTTTTCAGAGTTGATTCTGCCATGGGAATGGGTAGTGATTTTTTTTTATTTGTAAATGCAGTTACTTGAATTTTTTTATGATGGAGAATGAAGCGACCACAAAAGAAGTAGACCTGGTTTTGATTAAGCAAGGAGCTGAGGCAGTAAGTTTGAAAATTGTTTATTGTGCTCCCATTTTAGCTCTCTACAAGCACCTCTCATGTATTTATGCAAGCTTTCTCTTCATTGATATCCTAATTTCTTTTAATTTCAGAGAGTATTTGAGTCTAAATTTGTAGGCAGGAGATCAGTTGTCAAGGAACGATTTTCAAAGAAGTATCGACATCCAACTTTGGACTTGAAGCTTACTCTAAAGCGCTTAAATGCGGTCGGTGTATTTAATTATTCCATTACTCATACGATTGCTTGAATTTTATTTACTTATTGTTCTCTTAATAAGATCTGAACATATTGAACAGGAGGCTAGATGTATGACAAAAGCTAGAAGACTAGGTGTTGCTACTCCTGTACTTTATGCTGTTGATCCTGTTCTGCACTCCCTGACTTTTGAGTATGTAGAAGGGCCATCTGTGAAAGATATCCTCCTTGGTTTTGGTTCTGGGGTTATTGATGAAGAAAGGATGGCTGACATTGCATTTCAGATAGGTTATGCAATTGGCAAAATACATGATGGTGGACTCATCCATGGTGATTTGACGACATCAAACATGTTAATACGTAGTGGTACCAATCAGCTGGTTCGTTTTCCACTTGCACTTAATTTATTTGTAGTTTTGTATAGTTTTGTATTTGCCAAGTCATTGGTCAATTATATACTGGTAAATATGTTGATAATTGATCATTGCAAGTTGACTGTTGGTGACTACATTAATAACATTTTTGTTCTAATAACATTAAAAATTAACATGTTTGTTCAATATGTAGTACTACGTAATATTAAAGGAGTTGTTTCCTAGTATAGTTTGTGGAGTCATGCTATTGCACATTTGCACGTTCTTTTTCTATAGAGTTGGTGAGTTGAAGTTATCCTTATTGTCATTGAATGATGAACACCGTTTCTTGTGCAGGTACTCATTGACTTCGGTTTAAGCTTTACATCAACACTTCCAGAAGATAAAGCAGTTGATTTATATGTACTAGAACGTGCATTGCTTTCTATGCACTCTTCATGTGGAAATGTGGTGAGCTGGATCATCATCTACTATCGAGTTTGTTTATTTTTGAGTATTATCATGTGCATGACTAATGAGCTTCGTGGTTAACATAAATCACACAGTTTTAATTCACAATTATTCGGCCATTTGAAAAACAGTGTTTCATCTTTTGTGCTATCTTTATAAACCACAACGCCTTTATATAAAAAATACAATTATTGTGGTATATCCTTCGTCAATCTCCTCGATTTATGAAGGGTTATGTTGGTATATTAGTATATTATTATTGTGGCTTTTCAACGGCTGGGTTGTTGATGTTATGGAAGCAGAGTATTTGTTTTATGTACAAAGTGAAATTGTGAATAGATGGATCGGACACTTGCTGCATACAGGAAGTCCTCTAAACAGTGGTCATCTACTCTAAACAAGCTTGCACAAGGTTTTGTAATCCCTTATGCTTTATTCATCTTCTCCTCTTCTGTAATCCTCTGTGATGAAGCATTAAGATATTATTTTGATGACTTTTATTCTTTAATTATAATACATCTCTCTATATGTGATGCTTTCATAATTTCAGTTCGCCAAAGAGGTAGAAAGCGTACCATGATTGGCTGAGCTTCCATGCTATTCTATTCTACATCATGGTTAGATTTCGGCTTGTATGCTCTGCTTTAAGGCGTACTCCTTGTTTGGGTATTAATGTTTAACTGTGTTGTTTGATTGACTAAATGATAGTTTTAGCTTATTGTAAAGAAATATTTGCCAAATTAGGAATAGGAATAGTGTAATTTGTGCAGGACATAAGTATCTAGCTAGGACATGAGCATTTTCAGAATAGAAAAATATCTTTAGGCAGAAACATCTTTCTATCAGAGAGGCTTTTAAAAAATAAAGCTCATGAAGAGGTTAAACAATTTGAAGAAGAGGTTGCTGAGTCAGTAAAGTATTTGATTAGAAGGGCATTTGGTCCACAGTGAAAATGAGGGTACTAACTACTAAGCAATAGCTCATAAAGTTTCTTATATATGGATCCTGTTCAATGGCTAATATAGTTTGTTGGTGAAATGAATCAAAACCTAGAAAATAAATGGGAACTACGTTGGGAAAGATGTGTGAATAACAAGAGCGGTGTCGGAATCAGCAGACTAATTAATAATTATCCGAAAGTTATGGTTAATATACTCGCTCCGTTTCAAAATGTTTGACACACTTTGACTTCACAAAGATAAAAGAATTTTTGACTTCACTGTTTCGTACTGTATTGATATAGATTTGTTTATCAAATAAGGAAATAAGGAAGTGTGACATTCATTTTGAAACATCCAAAAAAGGAAAGTTCATTTGATTGTAGTTCTTCCATTTTCAGTTCATTCTGGATACTTTTCAAGATCTTATAGAAGGTGGCTATTGTTAAGGAAAGATTTTCACTTTGTTGGATGCACATGCTCTGAAGGAAATTTGATCAAGTTAAACCCACTTGATGGTTAGGACATTTGACATTAAGATTGACTACTTGAGCGACTTTCTAAATAGTTTTGTAGTCTACATGTGGAGAATTAAAGACACTAATATGTTTTTTTAGAGATCGTATGTAACATTTTGTTGTTCCAAGGGTTCCCCGTTCGAATAATTAAATCATGAGTTTTTAAGCGGTGTTTGGATCTGCTTCTTACAATTGCTTCTGCTCCTTCAGGAAGCAAAAGTAAATATTGGAATGTTTGGTGAAAGTGCCGAAGTACTTCTGAGTGCTTCTGCTCTTAAAAAAGAAGCAGAAACAAAATCAATTTCAAACACTCCTTTAATTAGAGGTAACGCTTCATATGGTTTGTAAAATGTTATAGAAGAAAATTGACTGAATGTAGAGTCGAGTTTAAATAGAGACTATAAGAGAAAATGGCATTATTTAAAGGTTACAAGTACAAGTATACCCTTCTAGTATGGGTGTGAACAAATATATGAATGCTCTATTTTTTGTAACAAATATACCCTTTAAGTTTATGTGGAAGTGCATATATACTCTTGAGCTTTTAAAAGGTGAAAAAAATACCCTTATAACCTACACGGCTACACATAAACTACAAGGGTATATTGGTTCCAAAAAATAGAATAAGGATATACGCAGTATTTGTTTTCACACTGAAAAAATCAAATATTTTGAAATTGAATAGTGATATATTTGTAAGGATTAAAAACAAATAAAGCTTTTATACGTATTTATGGATTTATTGTTGAAAACAAGTTTACATATAAATATTGTTTGATCAGAACATTCATTTTTATTTTAGCTTACAAAGTTTGCTAGCTGTTATCGGGTGTAATAAAAAATTTAGAGCCCGTTTGGCAACACTAAAAGTGGTTGAATTTGCTGATTCTGATGAAATTTATGAAATTCTGGCTGAAGTGGCTGTTTTGGCTGATTCTACTGATTCATGAAAAAATTATATTTCAAATATTTGTTATTAATAAATTAAATAAAAAATTATATGAAAAAATAGCTAAAATGATCTTCAACAGTAACTTCAGCCAATACAGCTAAAAAAGTAACTTCAACCTTAATTTTTTTGCTTATTACAAAATTCAGCGCGTGAAATCAAAAGTTACGTGTTTGATGAAAAATCTGACGGATAAACCTGATAAGCCGAAAAAATGGGTCACCAAACGGGCTCTCAGTGATTATGCAAAATTAGCTGACTTTGAAAGCTTTTAAGAAAGCAATGAGATGATTGAGATCTAAAACTTGAGGGCTGGCTGTAAATACTCCGTATTAGTTATTAGTGTACGACTTTGCCTCCTGAAATACGTTTATACTTTTTACAAGGTTAATCTAATTGAAACATAATTAAAAATTAGGAGGCAGAATCATACTCTATTTAAATCATATTAGTATATCAGTTCTTACCCCGCATACTCCGTCATATTTCAGGAGTAAAAGTGTAAATTGGTCTGATCACGTTTTTAAATTTAATCTATGTTTTATTCAAATTTAGAATATTTGTTTTTTTTACAATTTGTCATAATTTGTTTCTGTGGAATCTTCCCTTGCCTTTGAGGTGCAGGCTGAAGAGACAAACATCAATTAGTAAATCTTCTTTTAGTCTATGTTCTTTTTTTTAATAATTCTTAAATACGAGTACATATTATTACATTATACGGAGTAACATATATTAATTATACAATTTTATTTCTTATATGATTACATTTATAATACTACATTAATATACATATCTTTTAGGAAATACTATCACACTATAATATACTCCCTCCGGTCCCAAATGAAATTCACTTTGACTTCACACAAATTAAGAAAATAAATTTGACTTTACAGTAAAGTACACTGTTGTGACACTGTTTGACACTGTTTGACACTGTTTTGATGTAGATAATTTGCCAAATAAGGAAGTGAGAAAAAGTGTGAAGTTTATTTGGGACCTACCCAAAAAGAAAAGTGTGAATTTCATTTGGGACCGGAGGGAATATAATATTATGCTACAGTGTTTGATTCAATAATACACACACACTATGCTACGTTATTAATGAATATATGTATGATCAATATATACATGGTCCATTCAAGCGGGAATGTTTCTTCATGTGAGAATATATCTTCCCGTGAGAAATGAAAGCAATTCAAAACGATGCACATTGTGTTTGATTCATAACGGGACACATGGTTAAAATAATATAATATTCAAATTGAAAGAAAAAATTTAATCTATTTACAAAAATGCTGACACATTTTGTGATTCATAATATTGCACTTTTCTATTTCATATCATGAACACTTCTCAAATCTAACAAACCTTATTCATTCTTATTTCTCTTTATATCACGCTCCCGTTTGATCCAGAAATTCATATTAGTTGTGATATATATTATCAGACCATATAGGATTGACCGGATCCAATCACATGTATACCAAAACGAAATCAGATTTGAAATGATCCCTGATGTCGTTTTACCACCTCTAAATAGGGATGGATTGGGCCGGGCGGCCCAACCCAGGATCGGGCCGGGCGGCCCAACCCAGGATCGGCCCGGTACTGTTTAAGCCCAGCCCGGCCCATTACTATTTAGGCCTGACCTTAGGCCCAACTGCACTATTTAATAAAAAACTAATTATCTAGGTGATAGTACCAACCCGGGTCCGGTCCGGCCCGGCCAAGTAGTGTTTGGGTCTGGACCGGAACTGGTACCAGAACAAACCGGGCTGGTACCGGGCCAAAGTGTTGCAGAAAAAAGCCCGCCTCGCAAGGACCAGGCCCGGCCAGAGTCCACCCTACTTCTAAATAGTAGTCAAAGACCTTACATGCAAGTTGCACCTTTAAAATCTGTCGGTATAAATGGCTTAATAAATTAAACAGATGTTTGGTTTGGTTTGCTTTGCATGACAATCAAACATTTATTACATGCACCATTCATTGCCTTATCACACATATTGGACAGAATGCTTCAATTGGATTGGGTAGAACTAACTATACTATACAAAGAAAAGAGGGTATCAATGTTCTATTGCACCCAATTTTTGCTAGACCTCTAGGAATGCAAAAACGAAATAAACCAGGAAGGAATAATAAAAATATATATATAAAACAACAAAGCCTCATATGTTTTACTTAGGTGGAAAATTTACAAATATCTTGTTGTCAACAGATTCCAAAATAACTTTCAATGACAAATAAGCATATGCATGTATGCATATGCACTCGCGTATATGAATAATTTATTTACAGTCTGGCTTGTTCTGCTCCAGCATTCCCACTTTCAATGTCAACTGGATGGTGATCACTTTGAGGTGTGAGATTGGATTCTGAAGCCCGATCGGGCCTCTGAGAAGGTTGTTGATCCGACGAAAACTGCAACCTCATCCACTTTGTAAGTTCGTAGAGGATTGACGTGCCGCACATTACCCCACCAAAACCCGCAAATGAAGCCAGAAGAACAGATAAAACCGCTTGGATGTGGAGCTGTACATCCAGCATGGGGGGGGGGGGGGGGGTTGCATTAGATTAACCCAAAGGTTTCATAACTAAGACCCCAGCAAAATGTTTTCTAGATTTTCTTGTGTTTATCTAAAACTGATATATTTAAGCTGTTTGTTCAGACTCTTATTTTCTTCTATATCTATTATAGTATAATAATACTATAATGTACCAGAGCCTGTTTAAAAAGCCTTATTCCTCTAGTTCTGTTTGAAAACATGTTTTTCAAATCTTTTTCTTTCCAGAAAAAAATAAAACTGATTTAGTCATTTCAGCCAAACAACTCTTACCAAGAGGGCTCAAACACTAAGCAATCTAAAGACGCATACAAATTTTAGCAACACTAATCATATTTCATTTCCTCGGCAATTTTCTCCTTTTCCATGGCATTTTTCAGGACACAAACACATCCTTGAAGAAAATAATTTTTGTGAATCTTGAACTTTGTAGAGTGACTTCCTCTTCTGAAAAGATGAAACAATTTTCCTGAAGCAGCATGATTTGTTTTTTCTTTGTTAATAAAAAAAGTACTCCCTCCGTCCCATAAAATAGTTCACACATTGACTTGGATCGGAGTTTAAGAAAGTGGGAATAAAGTGAAAATGTATGGTTGTGGTTGAGTAAGAAAAAGGTAAATGAATGTGAGTCACAAAACTTTCCAAAAAGGGAAATGAGAACTATTTTTTGGGACGGCCCAAAAAGGAAACCGGGAACTATTTTTGCGGGACGGAGGGAGTATTTATTTATACCTGAAGAAGGAAAATATTTTTTAGCAAAACACATACTCCATAAGTGACCCGTTTTCACGTTTGACATAATTATATTGTCATCAAATGGAACCTTTAAGTGTGTTCTTTCAATGCTATTAATCAGTATTAACAACAAAATGACTGACAAAAACTGGTTGCGTATTGCGTGTAATTTTCAAATTCAACACAGCTTACCAGTGAATAGAAAATGTGCGCGAAAAGAACCACCAAAACAAACTGACTTGTAGCAAACACCCACACATATTTCCGCCTCACTGAAAACAAAGAATCAGAATCAAAAGAGGTCGGACATATTTCACAATATTCATCGAAGAAGGTTGGGAAAAAATCAAATACCCATAGTAGTGGATGTCATGGATGCAAGGAGACCCAATATGCATGAAAATGGAAGAGATATTGCAATGGCACCAGACCCCATTTTAGCAACCTACATACAAATGTGTTATGAATTATTGCAAGTCTGCACCAAATTTATTTGGAATGTGCCAAGAACTATTTAATAAGATTTTAACATTGATTATCATGATATGTGATACAAAGGTTCATTAATAGGTGTTTGGCATTGGCTATTGCAATGGCACCAGACTCCTCTATTCACTATTACTTGGTCTCCTTTCCTTTTACGGAAGTTTATTACTACTTGCTCTACTTTACATTTTTGAAACTTTTCCTACTTTTTAAATCCCTTAAAGACATATCCCTCCGTCCCGCTAACAATGGGACAAGAGGGAGTGACACGCAAATCAATAAAAAGTGGTTTATGTGGTTGATATTAAATTGATAAAGTAAGAATAAAGTAAGAATGATTTAGAGCCACACAAACTTTGCCAAATTTGGTATGGGACAATCTTAGTGGGACAGACCGATAAGGTAAAACGGGACAATCATAGCGGGACGGAGATAGTACATATTAGTAAATACCCTTACTTTTTCAACCCCTCTCCTACTTTTTCCTTTTTCCTACATTTACTAGTATTTACCACTCCACAACTTTATTATTCTTAATTTCAGTGAAAAACTACTAGAAAAAATAAAAGTGCATGGATGGAGTAGCTAAATACACTGTCTTGAGTCTCTTGACATACCAAAAGTTGCTCTAGGAAGCAGAAGTAGGCAAGCATGCTGACAATAACAAGAATAGGAACATCCTGCCAAATCCTGTAGAGTTTCCAACATCCCCAAAAGTAAATTTTAATAGAGATGAACTTAAGCTACTTAAAGAGGAAACAGATCAAATGCTAATGGAACAAATGGGTATATCGATTGTAGTTAAAATAAATAACAGAGTACAAGTTCCCAATTGGGTATACCAACACTTGCCTATATTGAAGAATAGCAGCCTGTGCCACTCCAAACCCTGATAAGTTGTTTTGAATCTTTAGAAGCGTGACGGGCAAATTCTTAACCTCTTGCCGGCACACATCACAGATCTTGTTCCCTTTTATGCTAAACCACTTCACAGCACACTCCTTGTGGGCTAAGGCTAGTTCACCTTTGCAACTGCATTCCATCTTTAGGGTGTCCGTACCCTCCCCAAGCTCAACCATACATATTCTGCATACTGCATCTTCTTGAGTGATGTCTTCACCCAAATTCTCGTTTCCATCTGAGCGAATTGACCAAAAGGCAAGGAGTTCAAATAGTAGAACCCGAATAGATGCTATTTGTTATTCCACCCGTTCCAAAATATGTTATATTTTATTAAAATCATCAATACCAAGATTATAATAAGTTTTCAAGGATATCCCCAAATAAAATATCCCAAATCATAACTTTGTTGTCCCGAAAAAACACCATACTTGAGCAAATGAAGCTAACTTTGTCGATCAAGGATATATATGTTCTTTATCCCAATTTATTTTTTCAAAAAGGTGTTCGAACAAGTTAAGTGTGCTTAATATAGTTTTAAACTATATACTTTAAATATATAAGCGGTATGAATAATTCCAAGAGTTGTACCTTGCCACAATTAAAAAGTTGTGCATTCATGAACCATGAATCTTTTCTTAGACGGAGCAAGTACAATTTTACACTCTTACCCTTATATATTGTAAGCAAAGAGATGCTCTCCATCCCCATTCCCAAGGGCCAAGGGTCCCCGAAACCGGAACAATATTTTGCTTGGATGGTTAGAATGTGGGGTCTACACTTAGTGCTTACAGGACCCCTTGCTGAGCAAGTTGCCCCTGGCGAGGATGGCGTAGTTGATAGGAATTGAACAAGGATTTACATCTTTTAGAACACGCTATCAACCGGACCAACCCCACCGAGTTGCCTTTATTTGTCTCATAGCTTTTGGCTCTAAAAGTCATCATCCAAAGCTTATTGGAATATTTGGAAATGAAGTATTTCATAGGGATGAATGGTAAATTGGCCATAAAAAACTAATACTACCTAAAGATTCTAAACTGGCATATTCCGAAAGATAAAAAAGGTAAACAAATTCCCTATAATATGAAATGGAGAGAGTAACATAGAGTAAGTGCTTATACCATCAGCTGGAGCACCTTTAGCTGATGTACTTATAGACTGGGCTGTAACTTGAGGGCTAGTTGAGGGAATGACACGATATAGGCTCCCTATATGTCCCTGTCTTGAGCTTCCATCTTTGTTTAAATCAGGAACTGAGTGTGATCTGTGTATTGGGTACTCCATACCCACTTTCTATTCGCCAGTTAACAATATAAGCATTAAGTTAGAGCTCATACAATGTACAGAAGTTGACCAAATAAATGAACGTATCATTTTTTAGGTTAGAAAACAATGAATACTCACAGTTGAAGAACCTCCTCCATGGGTTGATTCAGGATTTGAGTGCACAATTGGACTTACAGGCAATGATGATGTTCTTTTCAGTCGTTGATTGAAAATCTTAGTTACAGAGAGTTGGCTAAATAGTGAAGGCTTCTCTTGTCTCACCGGGGACCCACCAAGAGCTAGGATAGCAGCCCTTTCAATGTCTAGTGTTGTGTTCCGGAATTTGAAGTTTATTTTAGGAATGAAATTTTTCATCAATGATTTACCCCTAGATGATGTACCTGGAGACCCATCTGTTTTATCATGGCAAGGGCTCGGTAAAGGAGAAAAGTTCACTCTTTTTGGATTTGGTGATAGGGGTATAGGTGACCTCAAACAATTTTCTGATGCTTCCTCAACCGATCTTTTGGGCATCTCCAAAATGAAGTTTTGCCTCTTCTCATTCAGATTTAGAGACTGCTCCTCCATGATTTCACTCGATTCATTTACCTACATACACATTCAAGAACATAATGAATTTACTAGTCATCATCATCTAAAAAAAATCATCATCATCTCTAGTAAAGAGTTGTCATATCGATGGAATCAACTCATAGCATCATGAATCTCTACATCATGTTTGTGAATGATGATATATAAACATCATGGGCAACTTCCACAAAAATATTGTGAATAAACAACAGTGCAGAATTTGTTTTTTCATGGCATGTAAGGGTGCATACGGAACTCAGAAAATACTTGAGGAAGACAATTTGGATGAAAATAGAAAAGATAACTGGAAGGAAAGAATTTTTTTAAAACAAAAAAAGCTCAACACTTAGCAGAATTATATTTATATATTTGTTAAAGCCAGTTTTATATATTTATTTCAGGTCATATAAAGTCAAAATTATATATATACACAAGTATATATTATGTTATTTAAAAAATTGTAGATAATTTTCCTTCATTTTGCAAATAAAAGCAAACACAAGAAATTAACTCTTTAGCATTAGTTTTTGTTTTCCCACCCTTTTCTGGGATCCAGACATACCCTAAACGCCGATTGACCTGCAAATTTATCAAGAACAGTACACGGGTAAGAGTTCCCAGACAAAAGACCCAGACCTTGTGTAATTACATAGGAAGCTATATTTCTTGTTAGTTAGCTGAATTGAACTTATCTGTATTAAACGAAGAGGCCCCAAACAAAAGAAAAGAAAAAAATCTCATACGGAGTAGCTTTTCAATATACAATTCAGATTTAAAAAGATCTTGAAATTGGTGCCAACGAAACAGACTACCAAAAAGGGAAAAAGTAGCTAAATGCCCACCTAAAGCACTAGAACAGAAAAATCACAGTTCAAGAAACAAATTGCTTAAAACAAGAAAAGGGAAAGCTTAAACAAATACAGGTAGGTACAGGTTATGTGTCAAATAAAGTAACCAGCAAGAAATGGAAAGAAAAATCGAAATTCCATTAATAAAAAATAAATAAAGTAATTCAGCAAGAACACATATCAAACAGAAAGGAGCATATGATGGACGGGTAAGGAGTCCGAAACAAAAAGAAGAGACAAAAGACACTTCTTTAAGACTAATAAAGCGTGGGCCAGAAGAGTGCCTTTCTAGGAGGAAAAGGTGGCGGTCCGGGAGAAGGAGGCGGCAGAGGCGGCGGAGCTGGTATGGAGGAAGAGTCTTCCACATTCTGTTTGGCCAAAGATTGCTCCTTTACAGCATCCATGCTTTCTTGACAGGATAAAGCAGAATGGTAAGCCAAACGATGCTTAAAGAAAGGGCGGTTTTGGCTGGAACTCCGGCTTTAGACGTCCATGGTTTTTATGGGTAGCAACTAACTCACACACACACTGCAGGTACAGCAACTAAAGAAGTCCCAAGTTTTCGTCTTTTGTCGGTTTGGGTGTGTTGTCTTTAGTTATTTGGTTACTCCATCGACCATCCAGATTCAATCTCAACCATAATTTCATGGCGCTATTACCCCACCCGATCCGAACACATTCTTTAGTTTAGTAATCCTTCCTAGACATGTACGAAACGGACCCAGCTGGTCCCGAGCTGGGTTTTTTGTTAATTTTGTCAGCACTTTGGTCTTTGGGGGGTGTTAATTAACGAAAACATTTTCTGTTCTTTTTTCACCGAAAAAATGAAAGAGAAAATGGAGCACATGTTCATTCCGAACGTTTTCACTCGAACACAATATTTTTGATCCATGTTTGGCATTTACCGATTAGCAGATAGTCGGTTATGTTAGCGAATTATCAGTAGGGGATTCAGTAAACGAGTTTGACTAGCAAAATAAGTTGGTGGGTTGTCAAAAGATATTTGGTAATTTAGTTTTTTAGTAATAACAATAACAATTAGTAGAGAATGTCATATTTCAAAAGAGCTTACTCAAAACTCTCCTATTTGAAGCGTTTTTATTTCACTGATTCTGATAAAACGCGCTAGGGTCGAACTGCTATTTACCAAATAACATTTTCACTTATTGAAAACTTTAAAAGAGGTCATTTTCCACTGATTCAAATCTTAATTTTTATTTCACTCTCGCTACATGCCTACATGTAATGCCTTTTGCAATTCTTTATGCACTTATAATATTTTATTGTACAATATTACTTAATATAGATTGCTTTGTTCGATGGTATAAGCAAAGTATTCACTCATGACATGCTTCTTTCCGTGTTTATTTTCCTCAACATTGTTTAATACTTTTTATTTTGATTCTATGTGTTTACTAGTACGTGTAGAACATCCTAATTGAGTGTTTTTTATGTAGATACCATTTCCAGGGTATTAACCAGTGTGATTTGGTTTCCATTAAATAGATAAATTCTAACGATATAAAACAATTATTGGACCATAACATATATATACTTGAGTGTTAGTATGTGTTGGAGGTATGGGTCACACCGAGGGGCGGAGACAAGGGAAGACCAAATTTAAAAATGTCTTAATTTTTAGTGTAAAAAATTTCAGGCAAAAAATATCCCAGAATCTTCCCCTACTAAGTGCCCGCCCGATATCCAATGGATAAGCACATTGTTGTAGGGTTGCTCTCAGTGGCGGATCATTGTGAGGGCAAGGGTGGGTTCAAGCCCAGCCCAATTTTTTATTTATATATTAATATAGTTTGATTACCAGCCCACCCCAAAATTAATTCCCAGCCCAAGCCTAATCCTGTCCAACTATTCCACTAATTCACTCACCTGCGGCCTTCCGATCCTTATGCGAAGATTGAAGAACGAAGGTCGAAGAAGAGCCTTGCAGCTTGCGACACAAGCTGACCTGCAGCCAGCCGCACTGTCGGACGCCGTCGCTGAACGGGGGAGGATATTCACTGTACGGATCGTAAAACTTTACAAACCATCAAAACTCCGTGTTTTCTCTCCGGCTCTCCGCTCTGCCTATAGCTCCTGAGCCCCAGCTTCTAGGTGACCAGGTATACTCTAGCTTTAAATTTCTAATATTCTTTTAGACTTTAATTAATCGAATTTTTCAGGGTTACTGTGTATTGTTGTTGTGTATTGTTATTTTTAGGGTTAGAGAATCAATTCGATAATTAATTGAATTTCTCAGTTCATAACAAAATAGTGTTTATTCATTATAAATTTATAATGATTAAAGATAGAATTAAAGATTAGAGAATTATTTATTTATTATACAATTGAAGAATATTGATTGATTTATTCATTGTGTGGACATGTAAGAAAGAATTAAAATTTTCAATTAAATTTTGAAATTTTCAATTAAATTTTGAAATTGAGAATATTTATTAGTTTTATGTACAACTATTGTTTTTTCTTATTAGTTTTATAATTTTATAGAAGTGTTTTAATTCATACCAATATTAAAAATGTTTTTTTAGAATGGATGATGATTAATGAACATATTGCTAAGAAAGGAAAGAAGTTAATTTCGTCATTCTTTCCAAAAGCGAATCGTCAAAGTGGTGAAGGAAGTTCTGAACCTATACCTACGATAATGCAAGATCTACGAAATGAGGTTCCTCCACAAGACCAAATCCCTGAAATCCAAACTATCTCAAATTTGGAGCTGCCTCCATCTTTTTGCATTAATAGATGTAGATTCTATATTATTGATGAATTTTATACTTTGAAGTCAAGTAGGGCTCAACTTAAATGATGTTTTGATGAATATTTAAAGTGTTGACGACTTTCAGTATTACTATGTGTGTCTTCAAATTTTATTTCTCAGCCCACCCCATTGTAGACTTCTGGATCCGCCCCTGGTTGCTCTGATACCACCTATAACACTCCGGCCCCGCAGGACTCGAGGTAGTTACTTCAGACCTTTAGTACTGTCCCCACAAACCACCACAAATCTTTACCGCGTACTTTATCCTCACTCATGCACGCCCTGAAAAACTTCCCAGGTGGTTACCCATCCTAAGACTACTCACATGCAAGCACGCTTAAATTTGGAGTTCTTGGGTTATGAGCTCCCTTAAAAGGAGATCGCATCTGTTGGTATGAGTAGTACTATTAATCCTTTTAAATTAATCTCAACTGTTACATGAAGGCTCTGCGAGAGCAAAGAACCACCATGGACCCATCTTCATCTGGAACCGCAGGGACATCTGGTGTTCCTATCACCACCACTCAGCCTGATTCTACATCAATACCTCACCACAATCTACCCCGCCAATTTCTCCTAGAAATCGCCCACCAGGTTTCCAAAACTTTCGCCCTCCATTCTTTCCTCAAAACCAGTAAACTCCACGAATCAACCTTCCCCCTCTATACCAGCTTTTCCAAAATACTTCTACTGCTCCTAAAACCCACTTTTCAAAATCCAACCTTTGGGATGACAGGAGCAGTCCGGTCAAAATATTCCTAACCCAAATTTCCAGAACCCATTCCAGAACCAGCAACCCCACCAAAATCCTTTCCAGAACCAATATCGAAACCAGCCCCAAGTACCACCCGTTCAACTCAAACACCGATGTTGGGTCCAAATTCCTAACTTATAGGGGAGAATGCAAACCAAACCTGATAAACCGTGACTTGAGCTAATTAAATGCTTTGTAACTAATAAAGATTAGGAAAAGTGACAAAACTCAGTCCTAACACGCATAAAATGTGTGTTGAAATACGAACTTATCAAACTATCTTTAATCATGTGTGCTAAACAAGGATCAAATCACAACCGGACTGACTTAGATATCATGTTAAGACCTGGGCTCCATAGTTCATGTGTTATTTTCCATTGTTTGCGCCAACATACACGAGTTAACCAAATCCTAGTACAACATATCAAGTACAATAAGTCCTTCATTGAATCTCTTTCTAACATCTAGATATCATTTGAAAGAAGATCTCTCTAGTACTTAGTCTTTTTTGTACTTAGTCTTCGTGCTAGGACCGGTGCCCCTGCTGCCGTGTCCACCATCTTCTCCACCGCCTCGAGGTGCTGCAGAGGGTTCTGATAGAATTTAAGACTCTTTCCTGGAATTGCAAGTGGGACTTATGTTACCTACTTTGATGCACATCGGAGTATGAGCCAAAGCGGTCTAAATGAGCCATAGAAGCTTTGGTTTGACCGATTTTCTTCAAATGTCTTACAACAAGCCCAGGGGCATCATCATTTATAACTTTACATGAGTGTTAGTGGCGGACCTAGTATTTATATTTTGGGTGTTTAGAATTACTCATTTTCTCCTTAAAATACTAATGAATAAATTATTACTAATACAGATATATATTCCCATTGACGAGTGTTAAATAACAAGCAACCCACAACTGAATTGGCTCTGATACAATGTTGAGATTTGAAGTTTTATCTTATAAAGAGAAATAGTGGCCCAAGATCTCATATAGTGTTTTAAATGTTTATATTGTTTTTATGCAGGGCAAATATTTCAACATTTTCACCGATGGAGGAGAATGTATTATGTTTGGGGCATAATCATCATTTGAGAGACAAATAACTAAACATAGCATATGTGTTGCATCATTACTTTGTAGTGAAGGGATCATGAAGGAAAATAGTCTACTCCAATAATCAACTCGGTTTATGGTGTTCTTTGCTTGCGGCCTCTATAAATGATGCAAAGAATGATGATATGAGATCTAAATATAGAAAGAGATCAACAACCTGAGAGATATAGATAACATCATATCACAACATGATCGAATTGAAAAAACTATATACTACATATAGTATATATGATAGATGTACTCATGTACACGACTTCACAGCTCCCAATGAATACTTAGGTAACATACTTGCACAATTTGTGTAATAAAGTTTTTCACAAAATTTTTTGGAATTTATTTTCAAAAAATCACATTATAATTCCATCAAAATGACGATTTTGTATACTCAAGCTTGAATATAATTAGCTAAAGGGGTGTTTGGTAAACAGTCTTCGATAAAAAAAATGGATTAATTATGAATGTGTGATACTCTTACTCCGTAAATAACTATTTTTTGTGTTTGGTGATTTGCTTTTTGAGTTGGTTGTCTTATGCAAAAAATGTCAAAAATGAAAAAGCTATTTTGAGTAATTTTCAGAATGACTTCTAAGTTTTATACTTTATAAGCATAATATACACTCCAATTTTGCATCATTAATTTATTATTTAATATTTATTCAACAATCACAATACTAATATAATTGAAATAAGATAAAAATAATAACAATTGTTATAATAATGATAAAAATATCATTATATTCTTGCTCTTTTTATAATATTTTTAAAACTAATAAAAGTAATGTATTTAAAGTTTTATTAGTAAAAATAAATAATTGTGTGTGCATACGTAGGTGTGTGTATTACAAATTATAGCAGTAGTTGTTATATAAAAGTAAAAAAAAATTAAAACTTTTTACAAAACGTATTAAAAATAAAAATATAAAGTTAAGTTAAATATATATACTTTTATATTCATATCCTTAAGATCATTTTACGTATTAACAACTAATCATAAATCGTTAAGTTAATAAACAATTTACTCCAAATCGCTACTGAAAGTGGCTAGCCAAATTAAACAACTAATGTAATCCACTTGTGCAATGAACTATCAGCTAACAGTGATTTTGCTTTCTAGAAGACAAAATTACTCATTTTTAGGAGTAAAACAATACGGAAGAGCAAATATAGGAGTGCATTTTTCTGTCAATTTTTATGATGTGTTTATATGTTGGGTTATGCATAGGATGGGAAACGAGAAGGGATGCTTAGTTTATGTGTTGGGTTGATGTGTTGATGTTATTAGTCTTATGTTTTGATCTGTGTTTGTGACCAGGTTTTGTCAAATGATCTTATGTTTTGATCTGTTTTTTGATGTTTTCTGTTTTTGCAGGTTTTGTTAAATTATCTATTTAATTCGCATTATTCGAATATTGTAGAATTTTTTGAACCTGTAAAACACTTTACTTTATGACGTATGTCCACCTACAAAGTATTGGATATTAGTTACTTAATCATTTGTTTATGATGTGTTCATATGTTGGATTATGCATAGGATGGGAAACGGAAAGTGATGCTTAGTTCATGTGTTGGTTTGATGTGTTGATGTGTTGATGTTATTAGTCTTATGTTTTGATTTGTGTTTGTGACCAAGTTTTGTCACATTATCTTATGTTTTGATCGGTTTTTTTATGTTTTCTATTTTTGCAGGTGCAGGGGGAAGTCGTCATCCCCGATTGGCGACTTATAAGTCGCCAAACGTTTTGACGACTTTCCCCGTCTCAGGTTAACGCCAGCAGCAGATCGGTAATAACTTTTAACCCTACATTATTTCCATAAATAATTATTTAATTTTCATTAATTCGGGAAAAAAACTCTGAGTCACCAGCCACAGCTCAATGACCAGGACGATCAAGAAGACCATGAAAACTTGTAGTCCTTCTCCATTATTGAACTTATTCAAGTACCCCGAATGTTGTAGAATTTTTTGAATCTGTGAAACACTTTACTTTATGACGTATGTCCACCTACGAAGTATTGGATATTAGTTACTTAATCAGTTTTATGATGTGTTTATATGTTGGGTTATGCATAGGATGGGAAACGAGAAGGGATGCTTAGTTTATGTGTTGGGTTGATGTGTTGATGTTATTAGTTTATGTGTTGGGAAACGAGAAGGGATGCTTAGTTTATGTGTTGGGTTGATGTGTTGATGTTTGTGACCAGGTTTTGTCAAATGATCTTATGTTTTGATCTATTTTTTGATGTTTTCTGTTTTTGCAGGTTTTGTTAAATTGTCTATTTAATTCGCATTAATTCGGGAAAAAACTCTAAATACTCTGACCGAGCTCGGGATCGGCTGGTTTTTCAACGAAGGTATTGAGCCAGTTTTTCATACCGGAAAACTTCTTCCCGTACTCCAAAATAGGACTTGATCAGTTCTGCATAGTCCTACATTTTTTAAATTGGCCAAGAAATCGGGACTTGATCAGTTCTAACACTTTCTATCAGTCTCACTACTACTTCACTTTCTTATTGTGTTTGTACACAGATGCACCCTATAGGCCCATACTCATGACATTTGTTAATTTTACACTTTCTATTGTTACTAAGAGTTTTGACTACACTATCAGCCATTGGCGAAACTCTTACTCCAGGTTTGTTTGATCTAAATTGACTATCAACCTGATCACCACCTATAGAAATAATTAAGCCAACCATTTCAAATGGACTGACAGGAGGTTTTGCACCTCCTTCAATCTATCTGCAAGTTTAACTATGGCTCGACCCATTTGACACCACTCTCTTTGTCAAGTTGTTCATACTTGTGAACAAAGGAGTAGGACAAAGTAAATAATCCTGGCAAAACTCAAGTGATGCTCATCAGGAAAATTCACATTTGTATCAAGTGTCCAACCAACTGCAGTCTGCAGCTGTTGCCACTTCCATACCGATGTAACCACTACATCTTCCTTTACTTTCTCCAGTACGGACACAAGCGAATCACTATGACTTTTTCTGGGGGCTGTGCATCGAGTAGCAGTTATAAGAGTTCCATACTCGAGCAATTTCAGGGAACTATTTTATTCAACTTATCTATCCCTTGTCCGTTGTACCACTCAAGGTCTGTCTCTCTCCACTCACCTCATTGGATTTAAACATAGCATTCTATTAGCTTGCTCGTGCTCCATGAATGTGCGGTCAGCTGAGTTTCCTCCTTCAGAGCAATGACAATCACGTATTCTCAACTCTCATTGACAAAAGACAGGAGGGACTGAGGGAGTAATGAAGCTCCACCACAAGGTTCTGAATGGGCAAGTGAGGAATCTGATGGGCAGAAAATGACGACGGACACTAAAGAAAAACTGTGCTCTTAACGGTGTGCTGTGATATATACAGGCAGAGCTTAAATAGAATGGAAAGGGAAGCCAGACTTATAGGTGGTTTTGAACTCACATCATATAATGAAATGAAAGACAAGAGTACATTCTTTGAACCCCCTCTTTCTGGGTGTTTTCTTTAATATACTTGCAGTTCACCCCAAAAAAAATGAAAGACAAGAAACTACCATCAGATCATCTTCTAAGCCAAACACCAGACCAAGGTTGCATCTTCTAATTACAATATGATACCACTAAGATAGAAATCCATATTGTCACCCATATCAGATCAAATCATTCAAGCGCTATAAATCAAGCCATTTTTGGAAACCTCATGCTCCTTGTTAAAACTAACATTTGATCTATGAAGCTTACGGGTTATATTTCAATAGCATGGGTAAACTAGCTGGTAACCCCTATTTAAATAGTTAAATACAAATTCATATTTGAGCCACCTCACAGGAATAACCCAAAACATTTTTCCCTTTTTTTTTTCATTCTCAATAAATCATAAATTGCAAATCTAAAACAACATGTTGTGATTCAGGATTATCGAATACAGGAAAAGATTAGAAATTTGGGGGAAAGGAAAAACCGGTAAAAAATATTACAACCCACTAAGACTAAGCTAGTCTTTTTTGTCTTTGGTGAAGAGAAGGCGAAGCCGTGAAGCAAAGAGGCCGGTGGGATCGGTGGCAGCCTCAGCTAGAAGGCTTTGCTTGATGCGATCCATTCGTTTACTGAGGCCATCTCCCTCTTCTTTCAGCCCTGCCATGTCCTCTTGGAGATCGTTGATTCGGTATTTCTGTCCCAGAGAGCGGACGCTCAACAGCAGAATTCCAGTCATCGCGAAGAATTGAACAAAGCTGTGTTTTCTCTTCTTAGCATTGGCGAATAAACCTAGAGGTTTCCTAGTGCTTTGAAGGCCGCTGGAGAAGGTGGAACGCGGTGGTGGCGGTGTAGCGGAGGCCATGGGGGTGTGCTTTGTAGGCCGCTGATGATAGGTACCGCTACCTGGCAACAGTGACAAATTAGAGGCCCTGTTCAAAATTAAACAAGAGTCCTTATTTTGCTATCATCTGCCCAAAGCCTCCATCTGATATATGAGCTTGAATCCATGAAAGTATATTCTTCCACCATATTTCTATTACAATTGAGAAACCATTATCAAACAAAATTAATCTTTTTTCTTTATAGTTTAGTTATTCCTCAAATATGTCTATTAAAAATGAGTGAGGTTTATGATTAAAATTGAATCGATTAATCAATATACAGATTGAAAAAATAGTATACCGTATCAAAGGGATACAGATGCTCCATATACTTTATTTTATTTTATATTTTAGTAAAAAAACTGAGAAATGCTAAAAAATCAGTATTTGGAGTTCTTGGAGACCATTCGTATCTACTTATAAGTTTCTCAAGTCCAATCCTTAAAAATTGTAGTTGCAGCCTTGCAGGTGGAGGTTTTACTGACATGGAAGAGCATGGAAGAAACATGGAAGAGCAAAGAACTGAAACAAATTAAAGAACAAAAACAAGATATCTTACAAACTGCTCCGTATAAGAAATCATAGAGGCGTGGACATCAAAATTGTGAAAGACTGAAGCCAATTTCTTATAGCATACTTAAAACAACTTCTTAATTGTTAACTACAATTACAATTGAATTACTTCATTTTTTCAATAAATAACAACCTAATTTGCAATTGAAAAGAGAAAATTCAGTAAATCATACTCCCTCCATCCCGAAAAGTATAAAATTTAAAATTACAATCTTTGTCCACAACATTTTCATAAAAGTATAAAATTTCAAAATTACATTGAAATATAATAATTACAATCTTTGTCCAAAGTTTGTTATCAATCCAGAAAAGCCAATACACTTACCGAATACGGAGGTCCGAGGCAGTAAGGGGATGACCGTGAGTCTGTGAACGGTGGGTGGCGAGCCGGTGACTCCCGTGAGCCGCGTAACTGCGTGGTCTGCGTGAGGCACTTCAGTCGTGGAGTCCTGGTCTTGGAGAGGCGTCCAAGGACGCGCGATGACGGGCTGGCGGCGAAAGAGGCGTCGTTGACTCGGTCGTCCGTCGAACCCTTCGGTCCAATCGGCCGCTTTGTCGCTTGAACTTTTACTTCCGTCTCTTCCTTTCTAATTAGGGCAGTAAAATACCGGAATAATAATGGGATTTTGTATCATGAAGACAACATTAAAGCATTAGTCCAAAACATGATATCATCCTCAAAAGGAAAAGAAAAAAATAAAGATAAAAAAATAAGCTAATATAAAAGATAGTATAAAAAAAGTTGAATATACATAAATGATAAATAACTAGGATACAAATAATGTTTATGAGTTTTGTATGTCTATTTATTAAATTTTTTTTAATATGAAATGAATATTAATTTGGATTTGTATTTGTTTTTGTTGAACAATAAGAAAAGTTATCGAAACATATACGAATATTGAATGGATTTGAGCATAAGTCATATATTAGTCAAATATCACTTTAAAATAATTTTTGTTATATTTTTTACTCCGAATATTGGATAGTATGTTATAAATGCATGTTATGACTTAATATGGGTTTTTAGAATTTAATTTGTAACATTACACTTTTCTTTACAATTTAATGGACGATTGCATTTTTAGATTGTGCATAATGTACTAAAGTGAATCAATTTTATGATTAATAAATATAAATCTATTTCAAATTTTTTGAAATTAAATATACACTAACACACACACATATTAAAAATTATACTTATAATGTGTGAAATAAGTTGATAATTGTATACATCAAAGTTAAATAACTCTAACATAGAGTATTTTCAACGCAATGGTTACCAATTGCCATTGATAAGATACATCCATTTAGTTGTTAGTACATGTGCATGCGAATAAACATAAATATTAATGGATAGTATATCTATCGCATTATTTGAAAGGTCTTATACATTTTTGTAAGTTTTTCTTCATAATGACTAGACAGATGTCTAGTGTAGACACTGTGATTGACATTGTCGTTAAAAAAATATCAAAAATATATAAAATTGTGGAAAGAACGACAGAGTCACAGAGAAATGTGAATGATTTCTTTATATATTTATATCTCGCATGCCACATGTGTTCTATACACATTATTGCATTAATGATGCTTTTAAGATGGCATAACTTTCAAAGTGAGAGATGCCCTAAGGATGTTTTGGAACATTTACTCCAAAATGGGTAATACCGAGTACGTGGTGCTCTCTCCGTGCAGTTCTCACTTGCTATTTTTGACGCCCCACTAAAAGTTTCTGTTTTTATTTTGAGAAATAATTAACACTCTTAAATGAAAATTTAATCATCGAATATTAAAATAATACTTTTATATTATCAGAGTTATCATCAATGACTTCATTATATTATATACTAATCGTAGTTATTTCTCAAAACTCGAATTACCTTATTTAATTATCATCTAAATATCCGTGTCATTTTTAAATTGAAGTGTGATTTCTAGTCAGGTCTGGTCTGATTTGGTATGGTCTGATCTGTTGATGTATGGCTTGATCTAGTGCAGTATAGTGGTTGTTAGTTATATGTATATTTTACAATTGTCGAAGTCTAGTGTAATCTGATCGTAGACTGAAATCAGTCCAATTAAAAACTTCCTTAGAGCCATATCACTTACGATGTTTTTACATAGATTGGTTTCATCCTTCGCTAGACTGCAACATGCTAGAGCAAACTTAAACAGACCGTACTAGGTCAAAATTTAGAGTTTGAGAATTATAAAATACACATAGATCAGACATATCTACCAAACCAGACCAATTCAAAGTTTATACCAGATTAGGCCTGAAATTTTTTGTCCAAATAAAAAATCATTATTATCCATGTCCCGGTTTCAGCTTCTCATTAAAAATGACACAATTATTTAGATAACATGTAGCAATTAAATAGGGTTATTCAAGTGTATTTTGAGAAGTAATTTTGAACTTTTGATGGGCATATAGTATAATAAGGTCATTGATGTTAATTGTGATACTATAAGTGTAAATAATACTACGTATGTAATAAGTAATAAGACGAACAGAGTAGTTCCTTAGTGTTTGTTATTGTTGTGCATTGTGTTACATGGTGTATGCTTTTGGGGTACAAATGATGAATATGAACATAGCAACATTCCTGCAATAGAAGTAAAATATGCTCAAAGTCAAAAAATAAGAGTGAATGTTCAAAATTCCATAAATAGAACTTATTGTTTGTGATTGAACAAATATACTCATATAGAGTTGGAGCTTTGTCACCAGAGTGCCACTGCCAGCCATAAGAACTCCATTGGACTGCTGCCAGCTGCCGCCATCGAACTACTCTGGTTATGCTAGGAAACTAGGAGATAGTTATTTATATTAATGGTAGAAATATAATATTTAGTCCTATTTAAGGAATAAGATTATGTTGTAATCGTGTTTAGTGCGATTTTCTCTGTTGTTATTTGATGAAAATTGTTTAATGACAATTGTTTGAAGGTGTTTTTATGTATTCACTACTTACATGTGTTCATATGATTTTCTTCTACGGAGACAAATGCAGTCTATGCATTTGTAGTCCTCGTGCATACCCAACAATATAAAATATCTGAATTATTACCCTGTAAATCTGTAATGTGATGACCATTCGATCTGAGTTATACAGTAAACCTGAGTTATTACTCTCTGTCTCTATATTGGTGGCTGTGTTTTAAATTCAGCCCAAAAAAATACTTATGAGTGGTCGAGTCAAATATTTCCCCTAGTTAAGAAACTCTCCCTGTACTCTGAGTAACTCAGGAAAACAGGACAGGCCAAGTCCAATTGCTCCGAGTTGCGAGTACTCACCGAATAGATAACATAATAACACAGGCTGGTAGAGAAAATAAAGATGGAACGCATGAAATAGACCATAAGTATTAGCCTCCATGTTGTCAGCAATTACAAAATGCCATGCTGTTCCATAGTTTATAGTTCTACAAAATTCCATGGCACCATCATATGCCAGAGCTCTGTGAAACTGGACCAAGGTAGTCACCCTCCAAACTCACAACGGCCTGAAACTCCTTCTCGGCCTCCACATACTTCTCCCCGATCACAATGAAACGAACCACGGTTTCCTTCTCAATCTTTGACATCTTGTCATTCATGAAGATGGGGTTTTCCCCGGGGACGTAACGGTAGTCAGACATCTTTTGGTGCGAGAGGTAGATGTGCTCGATGGGCCCGCACCTCATGAAGACGCCGTGTTTGAGAATCTTGTGGACGACGCCTTCTAGAATCTCTCCACGGAAGATCTTGAAAGAGATGCAGCAGAAATCGACGGGGAACAACACGTCTCCTTTGTTCTCTCTGATTTTACCTTCACCAATCTTGTCCAGTGTAGTCACTGCTAGGAAGTAACCGAGGGTTCTAGTGGCTTTCTTGGAAGCAAAGTCATCCAAGAGACGGACTGTGATTGCCTTTTGAAGCATCAAGCCTTTGGCATCAAGATTCTTGGCAGGGATCACTACGTTCCAAGACAAACTTGACTTGAGATACATTTTGTTTTTGCTGTATTGCAGTCACAAGAAACACCTGCCAACATTGTATTAAACGCACTTTATTCATCAACACATTAGTGAGCACAATAAAAAATTATTGTTTACTTAAAAGTTAGTTGATAAGGTGAAAATTAGGTTTCAATGGACTCTTAGTTTTTTATTTTATAATTTCTCTACTTTTAGTCCATCTGGTAAGTACTCATCATTAGCCCACAAAGCCTCCTGCAATAAAGTCCATAGTGCTTCAAACTGGGCTTTTCAGTTGTCTAAGAAGTTTATTCTGTTTGGCACAAGTTTTACATTTGCTCGAGAGAGAGAGAGACAAAGGGGAAGAAGAAAGAAACAGTCGTCGCATTTTTACTCTGAGAATATTAAATATCAGGTGAACTAATTAGTTCTGAAAATAAAATTAAAACATCTTACTTGACCCAATGGACTAATAATATCTTATTCTGCCAACCTCTTTCCTATTATACTCCGTATAAAGTAGCAGCAAATGCAATACTAAATATGCTTTCATTTCTTCATTCTATGATTAAAAATAAAATTAGAAAGGCAAGTATATTGAACATGTGTGAAATATAATAAATGGTTTAGATAGACATAGATGTTAGGTGAAACTGGACGTGTTAAATATTTAATAAAAGTGCTTTGGAATTAAAAAAACCAACACAAAGCCCACTAATCTTTTTGCCAAAATCTTCTTCCTAGATAAAATAGTAGCAAACCCAGGTATGCAAATCAAAATGAAATATAATAAATGGTTTAGATAGACATAGATGTTAGGTATGCAAATAAAATAGTACCAAAATACTCCCAAACATGGGCCATATAACTGTGAAACAAAATTGTCTGATAGAGTTCGCAAAATAAGTTATGTCTAACAAATAAATTTAGACCTTATGTGTGATGGGGTCCATCATAAAAGGAGAAAGATCTAGAGAACTTAGCTGAAATGTGAAGATTTGAGAAGATTGGAAAATGAAATCAATATCGATCTTTCATAAATCTTGGAATAAACTTCCAAGACAGATGTTTTAGATATGTAACAATATCTAAAAAATCAGTTTTGCGTTAAAATGATGTTTCAATTACTAAAATAGGTGGCAATGAAGCACTACAAATGCATAGGTGTACGTCTTTGTAAACAAAATAATTATATTTAAATATAAGTATATGTTTTGGAAACTATAAATGTACGTTGTAGCAAATGCACTAACATTTCTGGAGTGATTTTTGACTTATAGAGACAAGCTTTCTGAAAATAAAAACATTATCTTTTTCTGCCATTTTGGGAACTTAGGTAAGGATTTGATATCTTATGTCTTTCTGATGATGCATGTGAATGAATCAAATTGGGTTTCTCGGGTTTCCTTAGGTTTCAACAAACAACCATATCACTAATTTAACTAAATATTTATAAACAGCTATGAATTAAATCATTAATGACCTAATCAATAAAAGAAGACTGAAGGAATACCGGAAACCGGATGGTTGGAAGTGAAAATCGAGAAGGGTCGACTGGCCGAACCGCCTAAGGGTGAGTGGCGGAGAGCGGGCCACCGGGCGACGGGCGTGATGTGAGTATGAGACAACTGACGAGGCGTGCTGCAGTGATGGCGAAATGGCGGTTCTGTCGTACTGCGTACTGGCGCCTGACGGAGGGTGAAGCCGCGAAGGAAGTCGGCGACTTGGCGGAGAGTTCGGCCGTTGTGGACAATGTCGATGGTTCCAGAGATGGTTACACGGCTTCCTCAAACCTTTAGTTAATATTGGGCCTGTCCTTAGTTGGACCAGATAAAACTTGTGTAAATTAGCCTTATGGTCTATTTTTGTACCCCCGTCCCTTAAAATTTTGTCAAGTTTGACCGACACGAAGATTAATAAAGTAAAAAACGGTGTGGTTGAGGTTTGTGCGGAGGAGAGAGAATTAATTGAAACCACAAATTCTTTACTTAAATGATAAAGTGGCAAAGTTAGTGAGACATCCAAAAAAGGAAAGTTAGCAAAGTTTTAAAGGACGAAGGTAGTATTCCATATACTTCATCCATTCTACTCTAACTAGTACTTCACCCGTGCGCTGCACTGTTGATATACATGATCATGCAATATTAGAACAATAATTTTTATATGAAAAAATTATATTACCTCCGTCCCACTCAATTTTGCCAAGTTGATGTTTGGTGGAAAATTAGAATAGTAAAATTTGTATGGTTGAGGTTTGTGCAGAGGAGAGAGAAATGAACAGAGCCACAAAAACATTGTTTTTAAAGGAAAGTGACAAAATTTTTTGGGACAAACAAAAAAAGAAAATTGTCAAAGTCCAGTAGGATGGAGGGAGTATAAAAAACACATGAAGCATACTAACATGCTCACTAAAGAACACATTGACGTCAGTGGCGGATCCAATGCTGTTCAAGAGTATTCACTTGAACAGGTAGAATTTTCAAAAAAAAAAACAGTACCCATGATGATGTCATTTGGCATAATTTAGCAAAAATCTGCTTTGTTTTTAAGTTAGAGCTCCATTTATTTTGTCCTCTGCTAGAAATAATATAATTGCTCAAATACTAGTGCTTTGGTGCGTACTAGAATGCTACTGGCCCGCTGCTTTTTTAGGAAATTGCTTATTTCAAAATTTGGAACATATATACTACTTTCCTTATTCCTAATGTCTATGGTAGAGTGTAATAATTTAATGACAATTTACTAATTTAGTACTAGTAGTTTCATTGAAAAAGATAAGTGTATAATTTGTTGACCATTTAGTAGTTTTTTATTGGAATGACAAAAGTGCATAAACTAATACTTCATACCATCATTTGAAATTGTAGTTTTAATGTGATTTTGAACACCCAAAATATAAGTGATAGATCCACCACCGATTGACGTACCCATTAATGAGCACGCTAGCATGATCCATATATTTCATATCCACGGTGTATGTAATCATTCAAAAACAATTATTTTTGTTGAAATATATTCTCAAATATGATAATCCTTCCAGTCTGGTTTATTGTCCATTTCTATTTTGAAAGTAAGCATTTTTATTTCTCCATTTCTTAACTTGTTAAAAATACGGTGAAAAAGATTACTCCTGACATTTCCAAATTAATTGGAGCAAAACCAAGTAGATGTAGATAGCTTTGCATAAATATACTCCGTAATTGACAGCAGGTAAATACATACGGAGTATAAAGAAATTCATTCAAATATGATAATGGATCCCACACAAAAGCACCATAAAAACATACTCCATGCAAATTGTTGGTGGAAGAGATGGTTTTAAAGGGAGGTTCACAAAAATTATATTAAATGTTATAATTTGGAAGTTGAACATTGAATTCAAATAGTTAAACTTGCATTCATTTAATTTGTTATCCTTCAAAAACCTTCTACATTAGTGGAACTAAAAAAAATTAAATATTTGAAGAGTTAAGAAATCCATTCAAAACCTCTCTAATTTGTTAAACTTTCGAACAAGAAAGGAATGGTCGATCCTAAACTCCCAATTCCCAAACATACCCTAATAGTCAAAATCTCCAAATGGATTCATTAATGGGAAAATGAAAACTAATAATCTCACCTTTAGCGGTCTTCTTACAATAATCCGACTTAATCGTAATTCAGGAATAATCTCACATTTGCACCCTCTCTTCTTTCATCAATCCTTGACATGTTCATGACCTGCTATTTCAGATTATTTACTCTTCTTTACAAAACATTAAATCATAAATCCCACCTTTCACATATCTTCTCCAAGTGGTCCCACATACTACATAATTTTTCTTTTTTCTCGCTAAAAGTTCTCTTTTTATTTTTATCATTTTTCTCTCTAAATGCACAAATAGAAAAATGTTATTTATTTTCCCAAAATAGGACAAAAGTATATTTTGTCTTTCTATTCTACCCTTACTATAACTTAATAGGTTGATCATATTCTATTACTCCCTCTGTCCCGCAATTAAGTTATCATTTTCCTTTTTGGGCAGTCCCTAAATTAAGTTCACACTTCCTCACTTTCCTTATTTGACAAATTATCTACATCAAAACAGTGTCAAACAGTGCAAAACAATGTCAAACTGTGTCCAAACATTGTTTGAACAGTGCAAAACAGTGCACTCCACAGTAAAGTCAAATTTAATTTCTTAATATGTGTGAAATCAAACTGAAAACTTAATTGGGGGACGGAGGGAGTACATTATAATAAAATAACGAATAAAAAAATTTATAAAAACATCGTACAAAATATATAAAATTCAAAAGAATTTAAAAACACTTCCAAAATAAAAAATTTATAAAAAATAATAAAAATAGATATGTAGGAGGCCTTTATCGGAGTCATGGCTACCTCCCAGCAATGCCAACTCCGATCGACAAAAAAGTGTTATTTTGTGCAAAAAACTATCACTTTTTCTCTGAATAAATTATGAAGATGATATTTTTAATCTTTGAAAATGCCAAACTTTTCTCGAAAGTTGTCGTTAGAATAGCATTTCAGACAGACACATGTTGACACTTTTTCTGATGATATTGTTCACATGACACGTGTTTTTGTTTTCATGTTTTTTTATTTTTAAATTTTCTTATTTTTGTTTTTCAATTTTTTTATTTTTATTAATTCTATTTAATATTTATTTTCATTTTTTATTTTTTTCATTTTTATTATAAATAAAATTATGTTATTACTTTTGTGTTTTTTTGTGTTTTAATTAATAATGGAATATGAATTGTAATGAAACAGTACAATGGTAGAATCCGAAAGGTATTCATGTTTAGAGAATTTTAAAGGTATCCACAAATTCTTGCAATATTTGAGGAATTTCCCCTATATTTTTCTCTTTTCTAAAAATTTTAAAGAACAAATACAAATAGGCTGCAGAGAATATGAAAACATAATAGGAAATATAACAATATGAAGGCAAAGAAGATATAAGAAAAATCTATCAAAATAAAACAAGGTAAATAAATGAAAATGAAAAAGAAGAAAAAGTATAATAGCATTGAGATGATAAAGAACAGAGAAATTTTTTTGGAAGAAAAAGAAAAATCATACATTGGAACACTCGGATAAGATTTGTGAAAAGTAAAATTTATGATTTAATGTTTTACAAAAAAAAGGAAATAACCTAAAATTGCATGTCCTCAACCGGTCCGATGAAAAATGAAAAGTAGCAAAGGTAAAATTATTCCTGAATTATGAGTATATGAGACTAGTTTTCATTTTCCCTTCATTAATCATACACTATCACTATGGACAAAAGCAAACACGAATTTGAATGACACGAATCCTTGTTAAACATTTAGCTTGAGTGAAATTCTTGCACAATAACATTTAGCATGTATAATCTGCAAGTGTTCGGCGAATCTGACTGTTGAGTTGTTAGGTTTTGACTATAATCATCATTGGAACATTTTGGGTTCCAGGTGAAGTCCAATTGTTGAGTTGTTGGGTTTTTATTATAATCATCATTGGAACATTTTGGGTTCCAAACTTCCAGTGAAGTAACAAACCAGACTAGATAGATTAGAGTTTATCAAACTTAATCAGTCTACTTAAGCACAATCAATCCAATAGAAGATGGGCACTAACACAAGGGCGGTGGCAGCTAATTGAACATTCTAAAATCTTCAGTAAAGTAAAAAGCAGGCATATTACCAATAAATTAGACTCAAGTTTAAGTTCCACATCAATTATGGAACAGTAACCAGAAGTCAAAAGACCACAACGAGTCTCAACAAAAAAAATTGCATCCAAAAAAACCACATAATATTGAAGCAGTACTTGGCAGGCAGCATATACTTCGCATTCCCTCAGCACCCAAAATGCAAAAAAATCCTGTTAAAAGATTGTATATGCTGTTATTAAGCATGTAGCACTTGGAAAAAATGATTCCTTTGAAGTATGATTAGTGTGCTTACATATTTTGTTGAAAGCCACAATATCGCAGCTCTGAACATATTCATTGATAGGTTCAACAGTGAGATAATTCTCCACAAGATCATCAACAGAAACAAGGTCATCAACAACCGTGAGCATGATTTGCAGTTTCTTAATTCCATACCCAACTGGAACAAGTTTGCCTATGAAAAAATCAATCATTGGTTGAGAATTTAACAAGTACGGAGGACAAAATCTATACTGAAACTTTAACAATCATTTTTCAGGTCAACCTCCAGTACCAATCTTATTAAACTAGAAATGATGCCTAGCGAAGTTTACATTGAATGCAATGGGGTGGAAGATTAATGTTATGATGCTAGGGAAATTAAATAAGAAAAAGCATACAAACATTGCAAGAAAATAAATATTAGGGTAAAGTTTGTTTTTTGCTATTTAAATAAATTTCTATTATGTAGTATACAAACAAAACTTTAAAGCAGATTTATTTTCTATTCTAACTTTGAATCAACATGAAAACAACACTTTCACAAATTTTATTTTCTTCCATGTTGTTCATAACATGGATGAAGTTTATGCCAATTAAAATGTTTAGGGAGGTCAATACACTATATATATATATATATATATATATATATATATATATATATATATATATATATATATATATATATATATATATATATATATATATATATGTTTGTTTGTGTGTGTGTTTGCAATGTGAAAATAAAAACAGGTAGACATACATGCACCCCAAGATAATCCTTCCAATGAAACACTTTTAACAGCTTCTTCAAGCTTTTTCATATCAGTCTCATCATCCCATGGTTTAACATCCAAAAGAATCGAGGACTTTCCAGCTGAAATCAAAAAAAGAAAGCAAATTCAGGGACATTTAGAATCATGCCTATGGAACGTAATGTAATGTTATCCTGGGGTTTCATTCAAATTAATATTGATAATAAAAAAAATCAGGAACATAAAAAGAAAACTCACATTCTTTCTTTTTAATAGAGGCCTTAACAGCTGCAGAACGTTCTTCAGCAGCCTTCTTTTCCTCTTCAGTCTCCTCTCCAAACAAGTCAACATCATCATCATCATCATCCTCAGCAGATGCAGCCTGTAAATTTCATATTCACAACTAATTTAAACACAGTGCAAAATATGAAACTACCAAATTTTAGCATGCCCACCATAGCATACAATTTGTACAGTGAGATGGTTAAAGAGAGCTAAAAAATAGTGAGAAAGATTTGATCATCAGGTAACAATCAAAAAAAGAAAGAACAAGACAACAGCTGTACTAACTACAGGATACAATAGAACTTTCATACCAAAGCAAGATCAATTACAAATCTGGGTTACCTTCGGGTCAGATGCAGGTGGTGTTGCCACACACTCAGTGACAGGTGCAGAACCTTCTATAATAACACCACAACCTTCTCCAGTTACACCACTGGTGAAAAAGGGAAGTCAAAAAAATTATTAGATTATAGAAAATACTATGAGCTTAGGCAGGCATAATACAAAAAAGGTATGCTTTAGTTAGCATGATGTTGGAGTTATTTGTACAAGTAACAAGTGAAATAACGATAGTACAAGAATGAGGATTTTTAAAGAATTCAGAACATACGAAATTCGCAAGAGTGCGTCAATGTGGTTGTACCACCGAGAAACATTTACTAGTTGTGGAGATGGGGGCTTGGACAAGGACGAAAACACCACAATGTCATCTTTGGATGCTTGATACCTGATCACAGAATAATTATTATAATATTCTAAATATAAAAATAAAACTAAAATTAAGATCACATAACAAACAGAAAACAATGCTGAAGTTAGTGACCCACCCAGTGACATAACTACGAGTCAAAAGGTACTCATCAAGCTTCTGGAGGCCAGAATCTGAACTAAGGTTGTGGAATGTGACTGCCATTTCTGAAATAACAAAGTGATAACCTGTAGGCAAATAGAAGAGAGGACTCCATTTAGAAACACAGACGCTCAAAGCAATTTTATTAGCATTTATATGTGATGAGTCCAAGTACCAGTAAAGATAAGAACAGTGAAATTTATGGCATAATCTAGATTATATGCTTGAATGCTTCTTCCTTCCCTTAAAACTTTGAATTTTTTCCTTTTTGGGTCTTCCAAAAACTTTGTGACTTTCACTTTTAATCAGTTAATCAATTAATTTGTGAATATTGTTAGTTTTTCACTTTGCACAAAATACAAACACGCATTTTTGCACAAACACAAACACACATTTTTGCACAAAACACAAACACACAATTCTTAAGTTTATTGGTCCAACTTGTCAAAGTTTTCTTAAAGGAAAGGAGAGTATAAACGCTAAACTTAATTAGATGGTCCTTTTTCAGTTAAACTTAAACATCTCTGCTTATACAATGAAAGGCCAAACTTAATTAGATAGTCCATTTTCCGTTAAACTTTAACAGTTCAATCAACATCGTTGTTCACCAGCCTCTTTGCTTGCAAGCGCCTTTTCAATATACCTCAGCGGTTATCAAACCAGCATCAACCGCCAACAAGCATCAACCGCCAACAACCGCCTTGTCCATCCATGAAGATTATTACATTTTATTTCAAAAGAAAGAGTTGGACCTGTTCCCACCTCTTTCCATCCTTGTCTGCATGCTCGAGTGAAGAGGTATTCTTATCATGTCAAGTTCCAAATTCATCTACTTCTTCTAATGCATAAATCCCCATGTCATAACTTTTGTTGCCTTGTACATTCATTTACAACATAAACAACACAGAAAACCTGCAAATGATCTGCCCTTTTTTGTACTGAATTTTAAAATTCGTTTACAACTAGAACGAGGATTTCAGAAACTACCTTGAGGAAATGGCGTAGGTTCATTGCTATTCAGCCTTATTTGGATGATGCTGCTAATGGACAATTTGAGGATTTGAAAAGAAGGGCTTCTAATTGCTACGTATTTATAAATAAAAAAAAACTTGCTTCACGCCTACAAAGTCTTTGTTAAACACCCTCAATTGTAGTTTATAACATTATCTGCAACGATCTTTGCAATTGTTATTATTTATTCTGTAATACTTTATTTATAAGAACACAAATTCTATTCTAGAATGCCTTCAGAAGTGTTAAATAGGGATTTCACACTTAAAAGTAATTCATAGGCGGAATATCATTCACATATAAACACAAAAAATGTCATAACGGTCTCAAATGATTAAAAAATATCATAACGTAGTTTCTATTTCAGGAGATTGATCTTATACACCTCTAAACAAAAATACACTTCTTCTATTTCAAATTTTTTTACAGTGCCTACCGAGGTGCACAAAACATAGTATTCAAAGTATGAATACGTATTCGTATATTAATCAATTGATGAGTTACTTTGTGGACGGGTGTTGCACGGGTTAGTTGACAATAAACATAAATGAAAAAACAGAACTTTCAGAGAGCAATATACCGAGCAGCTAAGGGGGAGGAGAATGGAGATGGAAACGGAGAGAGCAATATACCGTACGAGCGTCAGGATATGAGCGGCAGAGACAGAAGATCGGATAATTTGGCACGCCGAAGAGAAACGGTGTAAATATAAGCGGAGGTAGGGTTAGGTTATTCCACATCTTGGACTGATTTTCTATTTGGACCGGATCAAGCACTTAGGCCAATAATTTTAAATCATTTAATTTTGTAAACAAAATCTCTAAATAAGAGTAAAAAACTTTTTGAATTTTCAAAATAGGACCATCTTTTTATTTTTTCTAAATATGAGTAACTAGTATTTCAACCCGTGCGTTGCACGGGTTACGATGGCGGGCAACTAATTTTTTGGTGGAGAAGCATTAGAGTAAAAAAAATAGTACATTTATTTAGTATAATTGTAATAATTATACCCACTTAGAATGTTTTCAGAGAGGCAAGTCAGGCAACTATCTTTTATTCATTACATAAAAAATTCCAACTTTAGGACTCTTTGGGGGTAGTTTGGTATTCAACATTCTCAACGTGAACACGCTGCTTATCGGAGTGTTTTAGTTGTAAAATATTTGACATTTTTGCTAAAATGTCAATAACTGAACAACCCTTTATATTCAAACAACTAATGTCCATTAAAATATTTTGGCACATGTACTCTAATTGACAAAAGTGGAATAAGGATGTTTTTAGGGAGAACTATCAAATAAGTTCTCGAACTTTCATAAAAAGTGCAAATAAGCCCTTTTAAAGGAGGCTCTGCCCGGCCATCGCCATTTGGGGCGGTTTTCGGTGGAATTTTTGATGAATTTTTTTTAGCATCTTCTTCATTAAGTCTAGTTTACTCATACCAAATTTCAGCTAAAAATTCAATCGGGAAGGCAGTTAAATGAATTTTTGAAGATATCTGCGCAGTTAGGCAGCGCAGTATATTTCATAAAATCATTTGACTGCCTTCTCGATTGAATTTTTAGCTGAAATTTGGTATGAGTCAACTAGACTTAATGAAGAAGATGATAAAAAAACTTCATCAAAAAATTCCACCAGAAACCACCCCAAATGGTGACAGCCGTACAAAGCCTCCTGTAAAAGGGTTTATTTACATTTTTTATGAAAGTTCGAGGGCTTATTTGATAGTTCTCCCGATGTTTTTATTTGGATTGGAATTTTTTGATTTGGTCTCTTTTAACATGGTATGAACTGGTCTGTTAGATGTCTAGTATATGTGTATTTTATAAATGCAAAAGTCTGGTTTGGTCTATTATAGTCAAGTTTGGTTTGGGACTGGAAAAAACCGAAAAAAACATCCTAAATAGCGCTTAAAGGCACACTCCCGCGCGCACTCGATGCATGGCTCATATTCCACTCATAATAAGGATTTGCTGATAGTACATGGAAAATCGCAGATTTATGATGCATTAACTGAGCAATTTTCGTCCGTGTGAAAGACGAGAGAAATTGAGGGATCAGTTTTCGTCTTATGCGAAAGACAGGGAAGATGGATTGAAACGTACGATTAAATGGTGCGAGAGGTGATGTTCGATCAGGGTTGGAGAGGTAAACGGTGCATGAAGGGAGGTTAGATGGTGAGCGGGTGTGGCGGTGTGCTGCGATGCTGAGGGATGCGGCGAAGAGCGGCGAGAAGGTTCCACTGAAGATGCAAATGAGTCGTAAATGATGAGAACCAGACAGTAATTATTTATCGTAAATGAGAAGAGCTGAATTTGTGGGTGGAGAATTATAACGCATGTAATGGTGCAAACTGTAAAGGTGGTAAATGGAGAGACAAGCGGGAAAGTTTTGGGGTGAGGGATTCTCCCTTTAGGTATATAAGATTTCTGTCAAGTTTGGCATTATAAGGCTTTAAACATGGCAATTTGTGTATAGTTTTTTCCAAATTTGGCAAAATTATTCATATTTAGGGAATAAAAATATGAAACTCCTATTTTGAAATTTCAAAAAGGTTTTTACTCTTATTCAAGGCACTTTTAAATTTTAAATCGTGTTATAGTTCAAAGAGGTTGATTTCACTGTTTTTTGTTATATTTTCTCGTATATTGTAGTATATGTTCTTTTAAATGTTATGGAGTAATATCTTTGAGTATGATGGGTTTCGAACTTATGACCCTTTTATGGGAGTGTCACAGTGATGTCACTGAACCAAAAAATGTTTGACACCAATTTAATGAATTGCGAAAAATGTTATACTTCAAATACTTTTTGACAAAAGTAACTTAAAATTCGCTTATGTTGACTATTATATAATTTAGCGCGCAAAATCAAAAGTATGTATTTGATAAAAAAAATTATTGATAAGACTGACACACTGGAAATATTAGTTACCAAACAGACTCTTAATAACAACTTTTAAGCTGCAAAGTAAATGTTAAAGTTGGTACTAAAATTTCAAAACTAATATGTTTTAAATCTCATAAACTAATGACGGGATTTATAAAAATAATTCATACTTTTAAAAAATCGACAATAATAATCTCTACTAAGAGTATTCATAAAAATAATCTGAGCTAGCAATATTGTCCACAAGAATGATTGAGATGAATTCAAACTAATGCCGGTTTAATACTCTCAATCACTACTCCCATTTCTCTCTTCCTCGCTCTCTCTTCCTTTCTCTTCTTCTCGGGGTGAATTCAAACTAAAGCCCGTTTAATCTCATAATCATTTCAACCATATGTGGTTATCTCTAGGTTGGAAGATCAAGTGTTGCCCGATGTGAAGAGTAGTGAAGGGGAAAGTGGAAGTAGGAGTTGGAAGTATTAAACGGACATTAGTTTGAAATCATCCCAACTTATTCATGTGGACATTATTGTTGGTTCGAATTATTTTTAAGAACACTCATAGTAGGGATAATTATTGTAGGATATGTTTATAAAGCATTCAAATAAAGAATATCTAGAATTGAGCCGATTCATTTTGGTATTTTTCTGAATCAAAAGAGCAAAAGGATCTTAGATTGAGTTGAGTTAAAAGTGCGAAATGTATTTGCGCCATCGACGTCTTCAAATAAAGAATTCAATAGAAAAGAAAAGCCATTGACTCGATGCAATGAAATAGACTCACGATTTATCAAAAAAAACTGCCTTCGTAGTATTTTTTTCCCTTTCTATAGCGGGGATGGTCACACGTAATGATCGATAACGGCCCGAGTATTAAGAAGTGATTATTCTTCTGAATTTTGCTTGAACTAGTTGATAGAGTATATAGGCTAAATTCCTACACTTGAGGGTCGCTATCGGCCGCACATTACACTAAGTCTGAAAGCGATAAGGTAAACGATATACCCAGGTGTTAAAGACGATTACCACATCATCCAAAATCCATTGCTAGAAACAACGCACCTAAACATCTATTATAATCTAAAAGCAAAAGAATTTTGGAGATTGGGTTCCCGCTCAAAAACGTCAACATCAAATGAGTCATTTATTTCCTACTATTAAAAAATAAATCTAAAAGTTTCAAGTTGGGATGAACATTCATGTTGAGAGATGGGTGTCACTGTGTTGTTTTTTCGAATCTAAAGTGTGGTGTCACAGTGTTCCCTCCAACTCTTTAAGCTATTTCTATTGGTTGATGGGGAGGTAAGCACATTTTTGAAGATTGGCTATCTTTTAATTGCAGCAGTTTTTTAAGAAAGCTATTTCTATTGGTTGATGTGGAGGTGAGCACAGTGCTGAAGATTGGATATCTTCTCTACGCAATTGTTTTTTAAGGAATATTTCTCAAGTGGGTGGATGTGTGTAGTTTAGTTCAAGTACACATGACAAAGACTAATCTTTCTTGGCTCATGCCTCATTGATTCACGTGCTATTTTTTGCTCTGAAAGCAGGACATGCTCTTGGGTTTCAATTGCCGAATTACAAGCGCATGATAATATCAATGGACATAAGGTATTGGTACACTTTCAGTCCTATCCATGATTCAATTTTTTTCGTATAATTGTATTTTCAAACAAATGGTTCACAAATCTACAGGGCTTCAAGGATCTACGCTCACATCCCTGATCAGTTCATACTGAAATATTTAGGCTTTTTAGGGATTTGAAGATTGTGTTTTTATAGATTTCAAGGACGCGGAAAACTTTATGCTTTCAAGTCTACCACAAAAGCTTGCAAGAGTGAAGTCATTTGTTACAAAATCATGTGTTTATATTAATTATTTTTTCTGTACTTGATTAAAAGTAGCCTGTGTAACTATGTTGTTGAGCTTTTTAATCGGTGTTGTGTTTATATGGCTTAAATAAGTGTAGCAGGAGTAACATAACTGCATTTCAAATTAATGTGTAAGATTCAGAGACATATATACCTGAAATCTTTGTTGGTGTCATTGGTTTCCTATTTCTATCCTGTATCTAATTATTACATCACAAACTTTACAAACTAGGATCACAAATGGATTCATTAACAATACATGTTAATAAACTAAAAAACCCCCCAAAAAATAACCGATGTCAACTTCCTGCTAAATACAAAGAGCTTAGCAAGTTAGCAATTCCCTTAAGTGGGTATGAGATGTGTAAAGGACTATACAGTTTCATCGTGGGCTGATCCATTTAATTATACATATTGATTAGGTGAAAGATAGACCTGCTATTAAGTGAAAGGTTGTGTAAAGGACTATACCTTTCATCGCAGGTCTCATTTATACATATTCATGCAAAATTTCGGATGTGTCATTTATCATCACCAATGTGAAGTTCTTAAAAATGATACCCTCAATTAATTTTCAGTAGTTTAATCAAAAAGGATGTTTCACATAATATTGTAGAACTCAATTTTTATTGTGTTTCTTGAATTATGTATAGTTGTTTGGAAAACTGATGCCGTTTTGCATTTTGAAATTGTGTATAGTATTTATGTTTTTATTATATGTCGGTGTAATATTTATCTTTTGTGATGGATTAGAAGCGTGACTATATGCTTTTGGTGTAACTGTTAAATGTTTGTTATTAAAGAGACATGACTGCTCTTTTACCTTTGGGATTATTACGGAAACAATACCAAAACATAGATGATTTCCCAAAATATGACTAAATAATGATATTTCTTATAATATGACAAAAAACAGTTACCATATAAATAGAATTCCTTTTAAATATATGCTTGGGATATAACCATGCATCCATATCATTTCCTATAATTTAGGAAGAGTAAAACACTTCCTA